CCCGGTCCCTCCGAGCACCGGCGCCGCCGACCCCGCCGCCCGGTCGGCGGGCTCTTCGCCGCCAGCGCCTCCTGTAGCCGGTCCGCGATGAGCGCACATTCCTGTAGCCGGGCCCTCGCTCTTGGGCTCACTGTGTCTTTTGGTTCTCTGTGCGCATCGTGCGGATGGTGGAGGCAGCATGTCGTGATATTTGTGAGTGCTCTCCTCTCTCATGTGACAAAGCTCTGTCGATTTGAATGGGAAAATGAAAAATAGAGACATAGTTTAGGGGGAAAACCCTTTACACGGAGCTAAAACCCTCGGACGTCGGAGACCCGTGTTATGGCCTTGCTACCGCGCACACCCCCCTTAAAAAAGGGCTATGCACCTAGCGCGTGTAGCTGGAAGCCGGGCAGGCGTGACGCACTACCTTACGTTACGGCTTTCCTCCCAATCGAGAATTGGCTCGTTGTGCGAGTATATGGGACACGATGTCTCAAATATGAGGGGTTTTGACTCCTACCGGCTCCTGACGCTATCCCTGGCAGCTCTAATGACCAGGATCAGTAGTGCTATGATAGAGGCTGCCCATACTAGCGCAGGAGCTGCCACACTCGCCCGGACCGTCCCCCTCTGGGGCCGGTTCCGCAGCCCGCGAGAGCCGACAGCGGGGCCGTGCCGCGGGTGCCTACTGCCGAGTGCCACAAACACTGCGCCGTCCCGCCACCACCTACAGGCTGTCTTGTGTGATGGTTGGGATGTCCAAACGCCACCATCTTGGCTCTTGCGACCTCAAACCCGCGAGCTGTATGGGTGGTCCTGACGTCGACAGACGCCCGAGGACCACGGTGAAGCTGAGCCGGAACGCGTCGACAAGTCTCGTCTGAGCCCGTGGCGGTCGCCGGCTGAGTCGCCGTGCACGGCCCGGTACCTCAGGCGTCACCTCCGCAGCCTCAGGTCTCAAACTCCACCACCTCCGCCAGGACGCCATCGGTGGCACGCTCGGCGGCGAGTTTGTGGCAGCTCCACAGCGAGCGCGGCATCGAGCCTATTCGGTCTGGTCGGTTAGGCGCACTCCCTGGGTGCCAGGGAGTGCGCCGAACGCGCGAGCGGTGCGTCCTGGCAGCCCGCGCTGGCTCCGGAGCTGCCACAAACTCGAGACACGCTTTTTTGGGACATTTTCGACGCTTTTGTCCCATATACTCGCACAACGTGCCAAGGTAAGGTAAGGTAAGGTAAACTTCTCCACACACACGAGGTGGTGGGGCAAGGGGGGGCAACCCTCGCGTCTCCACGTCTGACGACAGGAGCCCCACGGCATTCAAAGTGCAAGGCCCAGTGCGCGTGGGTGAGCGGTGTGTGTGTGTGTGTGTGTGTGTGTTTGTGTGTGTGTGTGTGTGTGTGTGTGTGTGTGTGTGTGTGTGTGTGTGTGTGTGTGTGTGTGTCTCACGTCACTGCATCCTCCGCCGGTTCCTCCCGTCGCCTCTTCTTTGTTCGAATGTTTTTCAATCCATCCTTCACGAAGCCCTCCCATGTAGCTAGCGTTCTTGGCGAATGTCTCGAAATGGCCAGCAGGCGCTGTCTGCTCGCGGTCTGTGCGGGCCGCTCGTCCTCCTCGCCCTTCTTTCGTCCTCCCGTCCCTCCCCTCCACCATGGCCTTCTCGGCACTTCTTTCTCCATCCGCCTCGCCCTGCCTTTTCGCATCGTGCCGTTCGCCCTCCATTCGGTGACCTCCATGGCTGTCCGCCCCTTTTTGGGTGGCGCTCTCGATACGGTTGCGTCAACCTCGACGTCGCTGTCGCCCTCCCCGTCCCCGCCGGCGTCCGTGCCTCGGTTCGCGTCATCGGTAGCGTCTCCGTTGTTCCCTCGTGCCCCACCGTCGCCCTCTCTTCTCGGGCCGTTAGCGATTTCGCTCCTCCTGCGTGTCGCCCCTCCGTCCCCTCCCCTTTCTTCGTCGTCATCGTCGCTGTCGCGAAAGCCCTCCGGTCCCTCGATTCCCTCGCCTATCCCCTCCGCTGCGTCGTCCCAGTTTATATCCTCATCCTCTGCGCACGTCGCGTTGGCTTCCTCTCTCCCCCTTTCCTCCCTGCCCCTCTCGCTGTCTGGTGTTAATGGACCCCCTTCCTCTCCCTCGCCACCGTCACCGTCTCCATCCCCGTCGCTACCGCCCTCCATGCCCGCCGCCCTTTGTTTCACACTCGTCTCTGACAACGTGCCAATTAAGAGACTTCGCCTTTGGGCTGTTCTCCATCATCTCTTTCCCAACCAGGGACGAACCAACAAGCTCACTGACTGTGTGAGTGTGAGTGAGACAGAGACGTCTTTCACCTGCTCGCCCAACACACAGGGCACAGGCAATCAGACCTCGCGGTGGTGGAACAAGTTGCAGTGGACACTGACAATGGACACAAACACACAACCGCGAAAAACACCGTCACAGGCACGCGTGCCAAACGTCGAGCTGCGCGAGCCAGCGGAGGTGAGACTGCCAGAAGAGGTCGCGCGCGGCGCGGTCCGCCAGCAGCGACGGCGCCGCGACGCCAAAGTGGTCCAAACCGAACACCTCGACGACGTGCCAGACGCCGCGCTCCGGCGACACCGCCGCCGTGGCCCCGCCCTTGCCCTTCCCCTCGCCATCGCCGTCGCCGTCGCCCTCCCTCTCGCCTCCGCCGCTGCCGCCACCCGCCTCGTCCGTTCTGCGACGGCGAGGGAGCAGCAGCCACGCGGCGAGCCGCGTGGCGGCGATGAGAGCAGCGGCGACCGCCTCGCTCGGCAGCGCCGCCGACGCCTCCGCCAGCGCCTCGCGGCCGAGCGGGTGCAGCCAGCGCGCGGGTCCCGGCGGGGTGGGCCTGCTG